GAACCCAGGAACTAGCACATGATGGATGAATACTCTACCACTATATCCCCAGTCCTGACTTCCGATTCAGCAGTGCTAGGGCCTGCAACTACCCACCATCACCTCACCAAAATGGAAACCAAGTTGTTTAGTTAGCCCTCTGGGACCCAGATAGGATACAGAAAAGCCACCCTGTGTGACAAGGCAGGTGTGGGTGATGGCCTGCCCCTGGGGCCCTCCCTGTGGGGTCAGGGCTGTGGCCTGAGTGTCTGTCTCCAAGCGTGGGGTCACAGCACACCTCCTCCTTGCCTCACTGAGAGAATGTGGCTTCTCTGGTATGTGAGGCAGAGCCTCCAGCGTTATGGGAGACAGGTCGTGTGGGACAGCTGGGGACAGTGAGGCCAGCGAGGCCCGAAGCCCCAGCCTCTCCTCTGATCTGCAGTAGAAAACACACAATGGAGCTCTTCTTCCCCTTCCCCTCCTCCCTCAGGCAGTCCTGAGAGACTCTGGAGGGCTTCCAAGTGTCTGCACCACTGGGCCCAGGGCCCACTCAGGCCAGCCAGGGCTGGGGAGCAGCAGAAAGGGGGTTCTGCCTCCGGCACAATGACTGGGAAACCCCATTGCCAGGTCACCTCATCCGCCCTCCCCTTCTCCCTCTAAATAGTCCCTGACCCCACTGGGGCACCAGACTCCACTCTATCCCAACAGGCAAGCCCACGTTAGTGGACAAGTGCTTTGAGCCAGGACTCGGCTTGAAGACCTTTTATCTGACCAGTAATAGTAACAGAAGACTCCCCAGCTGAGGCTCTGCCTCAGGTACAAGAGAAGCCACATTCTTTCTCTATGGGCTTGAACCCAGGGCCTATTAGGCACTATCCTTTAGTTTTCTGACTCAAGTCTAGAGCTCTAGCACTTGACCCATACCTCTACTTCCAGTTTGTTTGGTGCTTAATTGGAGATAAGAGTCTCATGGATGTTTCTGCCTGGGCTAGCTTCTACCCGTGATCCTCAGATTTTGACTTCCTGAGTAACTAAGATTACAGGCATGAGCACCAGCACCTATTTTATTTTGCTGTTTTTGTGTTTTGTTTTGAGACTGGAACTTGCTGTGTAGCTCAGGCTGACCTTGAACTTGAGCTCAAAGGTGTGCTGGGATTACAGGCCTGCCCCTGCAGCACCAGCTTGCCTGGGAGTCACTTTCCCAGGCCCATAAGAAGTCGATAAGAAAGAGGTTGGAGACCATCCCAGGCCAGCTCTTGCCCAGTCTTTGAAGTACTCTGTAGGACACCCATCTTTTAGAGTGATTGCTGGCCTACTTCTCCTCAGGACAGGAGGTGCAGTAAGCACTGGCAGTCCCTCTGATGAGCCTCATCCTAGCTGGAGGCCTAGGCAAGCTGTCTCCTTTCCTGTGCTTCCTTAGCTACCTGATCTCCAAGGTTCCTGGGTTTGGTTTTGGCTTTTCCCTCTTTTTTCCTCATCCTAATCCCAGATGCTTCTGACTCAGCCCATTCCCTGGGCAGGCCTGTGGGAGACCAGGCGGAGACAGACCTGCACCAAGGGCTCCAAGAGGGGGAAGATGGCAAGCCACCCCAGAGGAGAGAGAGATGAATTTGGACTGAGGAGGCTGGACCAGCTTCATAGACGACAAGGCACCTGGGCAGAGCCATTCATTCATTCAAAAACATTTAGTAAGGGCTATGTGCCACACACTGTTCTGGAGGCAAGAATGAAATAGTCAAGACATTTCTTCCCTTGTGGGGCCATATTCCAGTGGGAAGAGGAGAAAAACAAACATCCAGTATGTCATGTCATGTGGCAACATGTTCTGTGAAGAGTAAGAAGGCGGGATGGAGGGATAGAGGGGACAGGGATGTGCTCCTGGGGGGGGGGGGGGGCGTCAGGACAGGCTCTCTAACAAATGTGAGCCTAGATCAAAGGAAGGGAAAGCAAGTGAGCAAGGGCCAAAGATGGGGTTGACTAGAATTGTTGAGAATACTTAGGGGTACCAAGACAGGAGGCAGTGGCAGGCAAGAGACAACCTGGCTGACCCAAGGGTGACCTTAGAAGATGCAATAGAATGTGACTTGTAGAGACACAGAGAGCAAGGAGGATCTGACGCATTAGACACAAGTACAGAAAGAGCCCAGGGCCTGGGGGAGACAGACGTGGGCAGGTGTAGGAGAGGAGTGCAGGAAGGCCGCAAAGGCCTAAGAGAGGTTGCTGGCTTTGTTCTATACGCAGTATGGCTTAGGTTGAGGACACCAGCTCAAAGCCAGGCTTTGAGACCAACGAGGCAGCAGAGGGGGAAAATGGGTTAGTTGGGAGAGCAGGGAGGCTAAGAGGCTGCTGTAGGATCACCAAGGCCCATGGAAAGAAAGGAAGAAAGGGATTCTGCATTCTTCTAGCCAGGCTGTGTTGGAGATGGCTCAGATCACTGCTTGTCCTGACCTTCAGGCCATGAGAATGGAGTCCCCTACTCTACAAACCTCAGGTCAGGGCTTCTGCCATCTGACATGGAGCCAGTGGGCTTCACTAGCCTAGACAGGTCTCCCCCAGGGACAGCTGGTGGAGGCGGGGAAGATTCCCTCAGGCTCAGGACTTAGGGACATTCCTAGCCCTTCCAGACCCCTATGCAGGACCTACTCCCCTCCCCACAGTGGACAGGCTCTCCTTACTACCACTGAGAAGGCAAAGGGGAAGACGAGAGACCAAGGAATGAAGCAGAGGGCACACAGGGGGAGTCCAACCCTCCTGTCCAGGCTCTCCAGGTACAGTAAGACTCTCCTGGACTCTATCCAGTCATACTATGGGCCCCTACTTACATCTGTTCACCTGTGCCTTTCCCCAACCCATGGGGCTCCTGCCTGTGATCTCATAATCCCTCAGTCCAGGACAGGTGTTACTGAACAGATAGAGGTGTGTGTTATTTTCTGATGGGTGAGTGTGGAATAAACTTGGAGGACAGTTGTGGAAGGCAACTCCAGAAGGAAGCTGGCCATGTTCCTCCTTCCCAACTACCCTAAGCTGCAGCATGAGCAATGGCCAACATTGCCTGAGCACTTTCTGTGAGTGCAGCCTGATTTCACCTCACAGGATCCCACGGGACATCTGACAGGGGCACACAATGGGGGCACAGAAAGGTGATGTGTGTGGAGTCACATGGCTCTGATGCAACAATGCCAGGATTCAAATGCTGACTGTCCAGCAACCCCACAAACTATGCACTTAGCTACTGCACACACCCCATCTTCCAGGAGCCCTGAAAGCTTGTATCTAACCTCAGCCTCATCTGGATGTACCCTAGGTAAAGCCCAATTATTCCCAGCCCCAAATGATAGTGGGTACATTTGTGGAAAGGCTTCTCTAAGATTAACCTTAGTAACAACAACAAGGCATTATCATTAATATTGAAAAAAAGCAGCTTAATCTCCCAGCCGTTGCTGAGGATTCTCATCACCTCTACAAACACGTAGAACCTTTATTTGTGATCCTCTCAGCCATTTTTTCAGGTTGGGGGTGTCCATGTGCTCCCCACCCCATCCAAACTTCCTGCAGGCTGAAGTGTCAACACTGCACACTTCCCACCCATTTCCTGCTAGTACCCCTGTCTCCCTCAGTGACCCATAGCCCCTCCCCAAGGGACTGGGCTGATTGTTTCCAAGTCTGGAATTCTGACTCCAGGCACACCCTTCTGCTCTGTAAATTTGGGAAGCTGATTCCCAAACAACCTTAAAATCAAGACAAAGAAAACTCATAGAAAATACTGATTTCTGAAGAAGCTCTTGAACATCAAGTTTGGAAACTCCAACCCCTAAGTTTGAGGAATATGCAAACTCTAATGATTTCTGGCACCATGACCCTAGGCATTCTGATCTCAGGAATTCTGGTTCTAGTCCCTCATGGAAATTTCTATTTTCCACTTCCTTGGGCCATCTGTGTCACTTCACACTTACCATACTGGATTCTAGAAGTAGATTTAAAATTCCCTCTCCAATAGAGCAGCAAAATTCCCAGAAATGTGGTGAGAATTAAAAAAACAAAACAACAACTACCCAAATCTAGCCCTAGCGGTATCTACAACGGTCTGGTGCATGCTTGGCATGTATGAGGCCTGGGTTTGGTCTCAGAAGCAAAAACTAAGAAAAATAAAAGGTATTACTGTATTGCAAATTCATTTGTTACTGTTTTTTTAAAAAACAATAGCAACTCGCTTGGATCAGTATTAGAAGTTACTTTTTGTATGTTTGGCTCAAGAAGGCCTTTAAATCTGTATTTTGTAGACTGAGTGTGAAACTTGAGGAATATTTGGGGTGCTCCGAGGAGTGATCTCCCCACCACACCATGCCCCAGGCATGTCTTTTCTGAAGTTCAAGAAATATCCAGGCTTGGCCTTGCTGGCAGCCAGGCCTGTGGTTAGGGCTCCCAGAATTCCCACTGCCGCCCCACACCTCCATCTCCCCGCTTCCCCCAAAGAAGGAAGGGGAACAGAGGTCCTCAGAAGCCCACCTCCCCCGGGCTCCTTCCTTTCCTCTCTTCGTGTGGGGTGGAACAGGGCTGAAAGCCAGTCTAGCCTGAGGCTGGGCAGGAAGGGGCAGAGGAGAGGGGGGCGTCTGGAGGGAAAAAGTCCTCCGCACAACCCAGGCTGTCGAAGGGTCAGAGTTCACAGCCTGGGGCTTTGAGCGCCTGGGTCGGGGGTAGAAAGGGGCCGGTGAGCCACGGGATGGGGTTGGAACTCTTACCTTGGGACAGCACCTACCTGCAGCGGTGGGGACCTGGGTTTCGGGGAGAGGGGTTGGGACGTTCCTCCCCGTCCAGCCCCCGCCCCCCGCGTGCCCTCGGGCGTGCGGACCTCAGCCCGACTCCCGCACTGGCCGGCCTCGGTCTCCCGCGGTCCCCTCACGCCCCTTCCCTGGCGGCTCCCCTCCCAGTCCTCCATCCCTCCCCACCACACGCAGGGCCTCTCCGGCGCGGGGCCCCGAAGCCCACTCCCCGAGCGCCCCGGGGCCAGCCCGGGCACTCACCCGATTCGGAAGAGCAGCCGCTGGCTGCGCGTCATGAGCAGGCCGCGAAGGCCCCGCCGCGCACGGCCACTGCGGGGACTCACGAGCAGGACCAGGGCGAGCAGCAGCAGCCCGCCGCCCGAGACCCACAGCCAGGGCGCGGGCCAGCCCTGCCAAGCCATGCCGGGGGGCCGGCTCCGGCCGCGGCCGGGGGGGGGGGGCCGGACGGGGCGGGGCGCTGCCAGGCGCCCCGCCCCGGCCCCAAGCGGGGGACCTGCGGGGTGGGCACTGCCCTTCCTGCGCCGGCGCGCTGGGGGCGCCGGGCCCTTGGCCCCGCCCACAGGCCGCGTTCGAGCCCGCCCCCTCGGCCGCTGTGCCCAGGCTCCCAGGGCGAAGGCCACCCTGCTGGAGGCAGCTTGGCTCCGCCCCGTCCGGTTAGGAGGCGGGGTCGGAGAGGCTGGGACCTGAGCGCGTTCCGGTCCCCTGCGGCCCCTGACACAGACTGACCTGACCAAGGCTACGCAGTGATGGGCGGCAGTTAGGTCTGGGGCGTCCTCATTGCCAGTGCCTTTCCACGTTCCTCTTACTCCTCCCACTACTGCCGCCCCGATTGGTACCAGAAGCCGTTCAGGTCCGAGTGGTGGCATGGACCCGAGTGCAGGCGCGGTGAAATCTACACCGTTAGGCTCCGCTGGATCCAGCCCGAGCCCTGGCCCCGTACTGGAAGGGAAGGAAATGCTGCGAAGTCGAGCTCCCCACGGCGCCCGCTGGGAGGTGGAGGGAAGCAGGTGCGGTGGTCTTGTTTCCCCGGCTTCCTGCGCCCCGGTCTGAGACCTAGATAACCACACCCGGCCACAAACGTTTTCTCTCCTCGGGTGGTTCGGGGATTCGATATTCGGATTTAAAGCCTGAGTCTCCAGGTGCAGAATTTATCACAGTATCACAGTGAGGCATTGTACACAATGACCTCTGCTCCCTGCCTCCCCCCCCCCCCCCAGGAGCCTTGGATTACATTATCCCTAAACTGAATTATGATTCACCTAATTCTGGGTTCAATCCAGAAAACCAGGACAGTCACGCCGTTTCTTTTCTGTGGGAGCATCTTGGAGACAGGCCTTTGGCCTGTGTACCAGGTCTGTTTAGGAGAGGCTGGGTGAGAAATGACTGATAAGTGATTTTTCTTTTTTTGGTGCTGGCATTGGAGCTTGGCCCCTTTGCTTAGCTTTTTCACTGAAGGCAGGCGCTCCTAACGTTGGGCCTTTTGCTAATTGGAGGTAACAGTCTCCCAGACTTTTCTGCTCAGGCAGATCTCAGCCTCAAGTATTTTGGATTACAGGAGTGAGCCACCAGCGTCTGATTGAGGAATAAAATTATCTGTCTGTAAATCTCTACATGCTAAGTAAGGAATTGTGGAGCACTGTGAACACTCTGTGGGAAAGGCTGTACCAGGCAGGCATTACATGGAAAAATTAAAGGCTAGTTCTTGCCTTCTGAAACAGGAAATGCAGGCTTAGATGTAAGTCTGTAACCAACATATTCCACTGAACCCTGAATCTCCAAGACACACACACACAGACACACAGACTCACTCACACACACACACAAACGTGTGCATGCATGTGCATATGCACACTAACAAGATCAGGTAAGAAATACAAAGTGTGTTTTATGAAATAAAGGGAGTTAGGGCAGGGATAGGCATAGAAGTAAGGTTGGAGTACCCAAGTTCAGGGACCCATCCTTCCCTGCCCTGGATTCTAGAAGATTTACCATATTTGGTCCAATTTGCTTTAGTTTCACCTCCTCTCCCACAAAAATCTTTTGTCCTAGCCAGACTGATAACTTATTCTGCATTTTCTACCCTGTAATTCTCAGCTTGTAGTGTCTGCAAACTACCATGTTATTTCATACCCTAGCTCCTTTGCACTTGCTGTTCTTTCTGCTTGGAGCATCACCTATTCTTTGTTCCTTAAAGATTCAGATTCCATATGCTCTCTTCAAGAATGCTTTACAGCAAGGTGCCAGTGGCTCAAGCCTATAATCCTAGCTACTCAGAAAGCTGACATCTGAGGATCCTGGTTCAAAAAGCCAGACTTGGCAGGAAAGTCCATGAGACTTATCTCCAAATAACCACCAAAATGCCAGAAATGGAGTTGTGAGTCAAATGGTAAAGCAATGACTTAAGTCTGTAATCCTAGCTATTTAGGAGGCAGAGATTGAGGAATCCAGTTTGGGGCCAGCTTGGGCAAAGAGAAGTTCACAAAATCCATCTCAACCAATGGAATGAAGTGTGCCTGTCATCCTTAGGGACTTGGGGAAGTATAAATAGGAGGACTGCCAAGCAGGCTGACGGGGGTATAAAACAAGACCCTACCTTGAAAACAACCAATGCAAAAAAGGACTAGACATATATCTCAAATGGTAGAGTGCCTGCCTAGCAGAAAGTGTGAGGTCCTAAATTCAATCCCCAGTGCACCTAGTAAGTTATTTTTTCCCCCAGTCCTGGGGCTTCAGCTCTGGGCCTGGGCACTATCCCTGAGCCTCTTCGTGCTCAAGTCTAGTACTCTACCACTTGAGCCATAGTACCACTTCAGGCTTTTTCTTGAGTAGTTTATTGGAGATAAAAGTCTCATGGGGGGCTGGGAATGTGGCTCGGTGGTAGAGTACTTGCCTTGCATCCATGAAGCCCTGGGTTCGATTTCTCAGTACCACATACACAGAAAAAGCTGGAAGTGGCACTGTGATCCAAGTGGTAGAGTGCTACCCTTGAGCAAAAGAACCTCAGGGATGATGCCTAGGCCCTGAGTTCAAGCCCCATGACTGGCAAACAAACAAGCAAACAAAGTTTCATGGGGTTGAAGAACTCAGGGACAGGGCCTAGGCTCAGAGTTCAAGCCCCACTACAGACAAAGAAAAAAAAAATCCTGAGAAATCCATTTCGCCGAGCACTGGTGGCTCACACCTGTAATCCTAGCTACTCAGGAGGCCTTGAGTTCTGAGGATCACAGTTCAAAGCCAGCCCCAGCAGGAAAGTCTGAGACTCTTATCTCCAATAAACCACTCAGAAAACTGGAAGTAGCGCTGTGGTTCAAAGTGGTAGAGCACTAACCTTGAGTGAAAGAGTTCAAGGGCAGGACCTAGGCCCTTAATTCAGACCCCATGACCAACAAAAAATAAAAAGTAAGAAAAAAAGTTAAAAAGAATTAAAAAAGAGTCTCACAGATTTCTCTGCCTGGTCTGGCTTTGAACTGTTATCCTCATATCTCATCCTTCTGAGTAGCTAGGATTACAGGTGTGAGCTACTAGTACCCGGCTATCTAATAAGTTTTTATTGAACCTTCTCACCCCCAGCATAGGCTTAAAAAGCATGGTTCCCTGTGCCACATCCTTTCGCTTACTAAGTATCTCAGAGCCTAAGTTTTTACTTAGACTATACTTAGACTATGGTGTAGACTGGCATAATCATATTATATACTCATTAATGTTCTTTTAATTTCAGACTCTTCTCCTTAGCTCAGAAGGCACCTGCTTGATAGGGTAAGCCTTTCTCTTCATCTTTCTTCCATGTCATTCTTTCCTTTGCTACCACAGGTGAGCCATGTGGTTCCCCGAATGTACCAAGCTGGCTCCCACCTCAGGGTCTTTGCTTATGTTCCCTCTACTTGGAACTCTGTTCCTCTAGTTCTTTAATCAGCTCAAATGCCAACAGATGTGAAATAACCTGCCTCCTGACCTGAATGGTGGTTACATGGCACGCACTAGGGGCTCTCAATTACCAGGAGAGAGAGGGTTCCAGGGTAGCTAGTAGACAGAGCTAGGGATACTGCTAAAATCCCACAAGGCCCAGGACAGGCCCCTACAACAAGGAATTACATGGCCCCAAATACCTGCAGCAGTACACAAGTTGATAAACCAGCATACACAAATGCAAAAGTTCACCAAGATGTACACTGAGATGTGTTAAGGAAGTGGTGCTGTGACTCAAAAGGGGCAGAGCACTAGCCTTGAGCAAAAGATCTCCGAACAGCACCCAAGCCCTGAGTTCAAGCCCCATGACCCACAAAAAAAAAAAAAGATGTGTAGGGGGGAGGATGGGAAGGGATGGGAAGGGGAAACAAAGGAGGAGGCTATAATGCTTGATAAGAAATGTACTCATTATCTTGCCCATGTAATTGTAACCCCTCTGTACAGTATTTTCACAATAAAAAAAAAGAAAAAAAAGATGTGTTAATTTTACCATATGTCAGGTCTACATCAAATTAAAGATTATCCCTTTGAGGGGTCCTCTCTGACTACTTCATTACTCTCTGTGAGATCACTTAAGTCCTCTCTCTCTTTCCTTCCTTCCTTCCTTCCTTCCTTCCTTCCTTCCTTCCTTCCTTCCTTCCTTCCTTCCATTCCTCCCTCCCCTTTTTGCAACTGACTCTTGCCTGTCTCCTCATTGGAATGCAAGGTTCATGAAGTTGGTGTGTATAATGTCAGGCTCATTAAGTGTTTGCTGAATGTGTGAGCAATAGAAGCAACGAATGGGTGAATGATAATTTATCTATTGCTGTTGAGCCTGGACTGTCAGAAGGCTGGAACCCTCTTGTTCTGAGCAGTGGGCTTGGTCCCTGCAGGAGAGTTCTTTGGAAGCCAAACCCCATGCAGGGAGACAGATTGTGACCAGGGAGTCAAAGCAAACCATGTCAGGAAAGCTGAGGCAGAGGCCCTGTGCATATAGTCTTCAGCCACAACTTCCTCTCCAGGACAGCTTGGGGGCTCTACCAAGGCTAGGGTTTGCCTCTGTGACTCTCTTAGGAGAGGCCTATGAATAACCTGAGGTACAGAAAGGTTTGGTTGTGCAGGCCTGTGACCCTAGCTCTTACAGAGCTGAGGCAAGAGGGACTAGATTTTTTTAATTTTTTTTTGGCCAGTCGTGAGGCTTGACCTCAGGGCCTGGGCACTGTCCCTGAGCTTAATTTGCTCAAGGCTAGCACTCTACCACTTGAGCCACAGTGCTACTTCTGGCTTTTTCTGTTTATGTGATACCGAGGAATTGAACCAGGGCTTCATGCTAGGCAAGCACTCTACCACTAAGCCACATTCCCAGCCCCAAGGGTCTAGAATTTGAGGCCAGCCTAGGCTACATTGAAGATCCTATTAACTCAGTAAAGAGGTAACCCAAAGCAAGGGAGCAGCAGCCATTCTGGTCTAGC